TTAACTTTTAAAACACGAAGCTTGACTCTTCACATTGGTTAGACTCCAGGTGGGGCTCTGATGTTAACCACCTATTGGCTGGATGGCTTGATACCAGGAAACCTAGAAATGGGCTATTAAAAGGAAGTGAGAAAGTGCACCATGTTTTGGTCAACTTGCCTGCTGCCTTGATCTAACAGCACAACTGACCTTAGAATTGTCCAACACAGCCAACACCTCGCAATGTCTGAGAAGTTGTCTTGTCTTCCTTAGGTTTTACTGCCAATGCACATAAGCTTTAGGATCATCTGTTTTGCACAAGGAGAAGGGAACAGGTCACATATTCCTTAGGGGTGCACGCCCTCTGAACAGTGGTGCACAGGTTCTTGGAGGAAATGGATTCAGTGTCAGTCATCCCACAGTGCCAGGCTCGTCTTCCACCTGGTAGGTCTCAAGAACACTGTTGAATGAATGAATGATGGATGATCATTTTTATATATCATTTTTATATAGCATTTTATGTTTATGTCCTATCAGTGTCTGAATTAGCCATTGTCAGGTCCCATTTCATCTTTAATTTAGTGAATTTAAAGGCTAAAATGAAGTCCTCAGAAAATTTTTTAAGCAAAGGTCCCTTGACTTTTTCCAGTTGAGTACTCATGCCAGGCTCTCCCTTAGACAAAGCAGAGTTCTGGTGAGCATCTGGGCCTCATCTGAGTGTTTAAGATAGTTCCTTACCTTTTGCTTTCTGAACTTCGTATTTTGACATCATTTTAGATTCACATGCAGTTATAAAAAAACAGCACTAAGAGATCTTGTGTATCTCTCACCTGGGTTTCCCCAAAGGTAACACCTTATAAGTATAGTAGAGTGTCAAAACCAGGAAACTGACTTCGAGACAAGATGCAAGACACTGACCTTCTTGGATTTTATCAGTTTTACATGCACCTGTATGGGTGGGGTAATAAATACAAATGATATCCTCCTAAAGCCAAGAAACATCATAGTTTCAAAAAAGAATATTCCTTTAAAATAGTGACCTCCCTTTTAAGTAAGTTGTTTCAAACGCGTGTTTCTCATTCATGTTTTCTCTATTTGGAGTATCCAACTTGCTGTCTGCTCTCAAGGCCACCAAGTGTACTTGTTGGCAAACTTATGGTGTAAGTGAAATGGCAGCAGCTGCTGGGCTTGGCCACCTGGTCTCCTCCCCCTCCGTCTCCTCTGAGTATGTAGGTACACACTCACACACACATTCACACACTCAGATTTTCTGCTGCTTGCCTTTCTTTATGCCTGAGTACCTTGCTGACAAGTACTAATAACAAAATACCCAGAGAGTCCAGCCGAAGTTAGCATACATTAGGCATTCTGAACTTGTCCTTTTGCTCGTAGATTGTGCGTAATTAATAATTAAACAGTTTCAGTTGTAATGGGTTGACCTTCTTGAACTGTTCATTATTCACGAGGCAAAGGCATCACTCAAACTTCTTCCCATTGTCCTTCACTGTTCTCTAGCACGCTGCATGCTTGTGTGCCAGTTGTTTAGCAAAAGGGGCTGATCAGGTAGTTCCTGGAACCTCTGAGGCTTGGAACCTGCCCTCCTCGGTGGTGGAAACTGCTTGCTGAAATTGGTGATGGCAGCTGATTCCATGTAACAGTTGCCTGCTTGGTAAGAAGTCCTCCTTGTGTCCCGTGAGCAGGACTCTAAAGTGGATTTGGGCCAGTCTTAGGTGGAGACTTTGGTGAAGGCTTTGTCCACTGTTTAGTTCCACACCTCTGTCCTTAGAAGTTCAACAGAAAACCACCACTCACACCCCCACCACCACCCCAAGATCCTTCCCGTGAAATACAGCACCCAGAGTCCTACAGAGGATGACTTTTATGAACAGTTTGGAGTCAGCAGCCAGTCCTGGGAGTCATGAGTGAACTGCTTCTTTCACCTGCTTTATATTTTTGAACCAGAACCCACATTTCCTAGGGGACATTTCTGAGAAGTAGCCACTACTCCTCTGCAGGGTCTCTGAAGCTCGTGGGGTGGTGCTCATCCTTCAAACCCCATGGGACCTGACACTTTCCCTTCCCAGAGTGAGGGTGCCAGAGCACGGTTTTACTGCGCTTCCTACCCTCCCTCCGCACATTGGAGTTAGCAGAGCAGGCAGGTTCATGGGGGTCTGTCATGCCCAGAGCTGAGCTGACTTCTAATTTTATTTGCTTTGCAAAGAGAAAAGTGTACTCTAAAATCTCTGGCACGGCGGCTTGCTCAGGTGTGTGTGTGGCCTTTCCTTGTGTGGTGGCAGCCTGCAGACTTGGTGGGCTTGTGACTCTCAGAGGCCTCCTGTGCCCAGTGTTCTTGTGTGGCTTCTCACCATACCCATAGTAGGCTTCTGCATCTCAGAAAACTCTCCCTTGAGGTGTGCAAGAGACATGGATTTTAAAACAGAAATAAATATCTGGCATTATGTGTGTGAGATTAGAATTTCCTCTTCATCTTTGATAAATGATTCTCTCCAACCTCCTCTGAGATGAGAATCCTCTCTGTGGTTCTGCAGAGCCAACGTGGGCTGGCGTTTTCAGAAGTGAAATAAATTATTCATGGGCACCACCCAGTGTTCCTTAGTTTTATAATATGAGGGACTTAACAGGCTGCAATATCAGGTCTTAAATAAAATCAACTACCCATGCGAGATGTCACATTTCCTCGTTGTGTTTCTCATCCGTGTTAAGATGACATCTTCATCAAGCTGCCTAGTCTATAACTCATTAATTTACTCTTGATATACTTTGAAATGAGACCCACATTAGCATCATGTTTTGTACCAGATCTCTGTAGAAAAGCAGTCCAGGATCTTAATCATCTTGGTAATATTCAGCCACATTAAGACAGTAAGGCTATTATTTTTCTAAATATTGCATTTTAAAGCAACCACCAATGACTCAGACACTTGTATTACTATACCCTCAAAAAAAAAATCCATGAAGGAATTACTTAGAGAAGCTTCCTAAGTGATCAGAGTACATAATTTTTACACCTCAGACTTTGAACTATCTTTTTACTAATGGTTGGTGATACAGTAAAATGTCACTTCTTGGACTGGGCCTTGTAGGAGCTTGTAGAGTTGGTGATATATATGGCTTTCCTAAAACTGGCTGGGGCTGAAACTGATATCGTTTTAGTTTTGCTCTTCGCCATTTTATAGTCCCTTCACTGAGGACTTGCCATGCTTTCGCTGCTTTTTTCTTTTGAGTGAACTGGTTGCCAGCCTCCTCCCCTGCTTTCACGCCCTCCCTATTTAACGCCTACATGTGATCCTATGAACTGGGTGAGATTTTGTTTCACTACTGTTTTCCTTTGTTTTCCTTTCCTCTTGGAAGTCTTTATTTCTCTACTGATGAGAGTTTTAAGTTTAGAATTGCTCACCTCCCTCCTCTGGATGAATAGAGCAAATTAAAAGAGGACAGATATGCAGAAACCATGGCACATTTTGTTCATGTTCCTTTTAACCTCTTTGGGGTTTTTTGGTGTGTTTTTGTTTTGTTTTTTGGCTGCTTTGACCCCCTTAATTCCTTTTGATTTAATTGTATTTTCCAGCAGTTTTCAATTGTTTGAATTGGAAACAAAGCCTTAATAAGAGTTCTAGTTAATTTTCTGTCTTGTAATTACCGATCTCATTTTTCTGATAATTGGCCACAGCAATTATATGTATATTTACTAATCACATAGGAGGCTGTGCAATTGTATCTATCTGCCACCATTGATAATGACACGCATATTGCAGAGGTGCTTTTATCATCTTCTTTTTTCCACTACATCAAAGCTATTTCCTCTCGTTCTCAATAATGAATACATGCATGCATTTGACACAGTTGTGTGCTAGAGAAATTGTTTGGCTCCCACCAAATGCTGCATGCTCTGAGTTTCTTGCCTGCAGCGCTGGAAGGTTGTATGTAATGATATATTGCTCATCCAAATGGCCAAAGCACTCCAAAGCACAGTGAGATTAAAATAAGTCATTCCTTTGTTAATTTAAATAGGTGCATGTATCATACTTTGCAGGGCACTTTGTGTAGGGATGTCAGGGAGGAAAAAAGCCGCCGAAAGGTATTTTTAATAGCAAATGAGAATAGATGAGAACGGAGTCATTTGCAGCTGCCACTTTATGTGGCTCCCTTGTTCCAACTGTAGGTCTAATGAGATGACTGTTAAAGTACTCTGCAGTGTAATTTCATTACATCCTGAGCTGTTACACTATAAACACAGTGGCGCTCTCTGTCACTCTTGGAAAAACTCCTAAATTCTTAAAGCCTTCCTTTGCAGCGGGAATGAGGTTTGCTCCCTGTGTTACATGGTGGGGAAGGTTGTTGCTGTGTGGTCTTCTGCTCTTTTGAGGGAGCCCCAATTTTATTTGGTGGTCGAGTTGGGAGGTTTTTTTGTGCTTAATTCACTGGCTTTCTCATATGAGGAGTTTGCCTAACAACTGGCAACATAGGCTAAAATTCTTTTTCAAGAAACAACTTCCCCCATAAAAGCATTTTTATTAAAGTTAAAAAAAAATCTGACCCAAATTATTCCATTAAGGACAAGCAGTTGAATAGACAAATAAATGTAAATAAAAAAGAAAATGTAAATAAATAGCAAATCCAGCAAAAGAAACAAAGGTCAACACAAGAATAATTTCGCAGCTCTCTGTTAATTACAAGACCATTTGTGTGTTACTTAAATAATCATTAATTTCTCATTTACACTTTCCCTACCTTCTCTCCTGCCCTGTGGCTATCATTGTCCTTTTTCCACCTCCCTCCCCCTCTGCCCTCGGTTCTCACCATTGTGGGATACGTATGGCTTCACACTTGGTGTTTTTTACCTACATGTGTGGAAGAGCGTGGAGACGGTCTCTTTAATAGGACAAGACCTTGTTTTCATTATCCTCATCTCTGTACTGCTCCTTGTGTGGGTGGGGTGGGGACTGTGAAAAAAAAGAAGGAATTGTGACTTTCAGTGACTTGTTTTTCCTCCATCCCAGGATTCGCCTGTCCTTCCGGTTGGAGAGTTCTCGGAGCCATTTGTACATTTCATCACTCAGTGGTGAGCCCGTTTGCAAACATGCCATGCCCTCAATGTAAATGATACATGCCATTAACTCGCGGCTCCGTGAGACCTTATGGCTCTCCCTGCTTCCTTTTGGAGACAGGAGGGACTTTGGGGCTCTGGCAGATGGGGCAGCAAAGCTGAAGAAATTGTTTAAATTATGTAAACGTTATTTACACAAAGGTTCATAAACGCACTTCAGAGGCTTTTTCCTGTTTTAATAAACTGCTGAGAGTCAGGCCACTTCTGCACACAGATACTGTTACCGTGCTTTTCTTTCTTTTAAGAAATACACAATTTTATAGCCCCTATTGAACAGACATATGAATCTTATTTTTATTAATGTAATCTCAAGTTACCCATAAAACTGTCAGTCACTTAGTGGAAGTGGTGTCGTTTATTAATTCATCGAATTTTCAGTAAGTAACTTTTATCTTTGGTTATATTTTAAACACAATGCTGGGGCCCCATTTCAGTGAATCTTGATGTTTGAAAGATTGAACTCCCAGTTCCATTATGCCTGCTTTCCCTCTCTGAGAACTGAGAGGTGCCATGTGACCCCCGAATCTCTAGGAGACTTCTTGGCGTTCTGCACCCCAGGAAACCAGCACTCTCCTGCATGGCTCCTTGCCGGCCTCAGCCCTTCCCTCCCAGCAGAGCACATCTCTCTCCTGTCACCGATTTCCCCATCAGTCCCCTCTTCCCTGCCCTGCAGTACTCCCTTGGCCCCTATCCTCTCCCCCATCCAAGATCCAGGAGGAGATGGGAGCATGGGGTGACCGTCCTGGGAGCAGGGGACAGAATGCCTGGAACTCCTCCATGAGGACCTTGCTCCCCTACCCTCCTCCATCACTGCCCTCCTCCTCACCCTTCAGACTAATGCCCACTGGCAGAAAATGAATGACCAGACCCTGCCTTTCAGAAGAAAGTCCTGGTTCCTATGGTGTGGCCACATGCTGTGGTCAGCCTCCTGCTAAACCCGAGTGGTGTGCGCTGGCCTCCCCGCAATGAGCTATCAGATGATGATGCTGAAGGGCAACCGAGAAGTATTCGTTAGTATAAATGTCAAGTTTATCACCTTGTTGACTAAGTGTAATATGTTACTTCTTAATTTTAAAAAATGTCTCATACAGTTTATATTCCATTGAAAAACTATGTGGGGAAGAAATTCTTTCCTTAGTTTTTAAAACTATATTGACATTGAATGGTTTGCTTGTTTAAAATACTTATATAGTATTCTGTAGCTTTTACAAACTATTTTTACTTCAAAAACATTTTATTTCCAAAGCATGCCATATTGGGGGAAAAAGCATATATATTGGTTACAGCCCAGAATCCTGAGCTGTCTAGAAGTTCTTCAATGAGTTAGAACCAGGATCCAGAAATATATATATGAATTGCTCTTAATTTTCTTTACTGTAATTCCTAAAAAATACTCCAAAGCACATCATAGTAACACTTCATTTTGAGATGCAAAAGTTGAAAAGCAGACCGTGTGGTCCCTGTGCTCCCTGGCAGCCTGGTGTGGGCACCCCCGCCCAGAGTGTCTGGTTTGTGATGGGTTTCCATCGCAGGTCAACTTGCTGTGTGGTCTGAGACCCACGTGGGGTGCAGCTTGCCTGGACATGGGGAGAAAAGTGGGTAAGGCTCTACCTTCCTTCTGTCCAAAAATTTATCAGCTGTTAGTCAAAAGTTTTGTGAAGACAGAGGGAGAAATATCCTGTGTTGAAATTTCCACAGACGTCAGGCCAAAGTGGGTAATAGCCTTGTTTCCCTAAGAGATCCAGCGATTTAGGATTGTCAGATTAGGACTGTTACCGACTCCACTGGCGAGACAGCTTGAGTTACTTGCTAATGGATGCAGTATTTGAGAGGTGCATATGGTTATTTATAGGGAAGGCAAATGTCCTCGATGTCATTAATGGTTCATAACTACTGCTCTTGTTTGCCAAATGATCGTTAAATCTCTCTATTTAAAAAAAAAAACTACTGTCAGCAAATGCAGAGATTATACAAAGGGTTTTCTTCTTGCTTGCTTCTTATATAAAGAGAAAAGCATCTGTGTGATCAAAGTAGTAGTCTCTTGTCATGACCGCAACCCACAGACACTCTGAGTTGAGAACACGGCCTCAGCCAGGCGGCTGTCCACAGTCACCTTGGTCCCTGTGTGAGTGCTCCGTCACATAGCTAAGAACGTGCCACAGTTACCAGTTATACATTGTGCATGGAAGACAAGAAATATGCTGCATGAGGAATGTGGTTCTTTAAGCAGCTTAAAGAAGTTTAACTGTCCATAGTTGTTTAGTAAATTACCAACTTGTGATGTACCCAAAATTTCACGTAAACTAATGTGTAATAACCCATCTGTGATTTTTATAGCATTTTCTAGACTCCTGACCTCTCTTATATACTGCTTATCATAGTGAAGGAATGAGATTTATTTTCACTTGACAGTGTTGTTTCTTTTTTACTCTCTTATCCCAATGACCAAAAAAGTAGTATATTGCTCCCTAAATTTAAGTTTAAAATAAATTGATAACTGCATCAGGAACAGAATATTGCTGCTTTTTTCACATTAATTTTAAAAGTAGAATTAGCATAAATTTAATTTAAATGCATTGTTTATCTGTATTGTAAAAGTAAAGCCAAAAAAAGTAAAAAGGTAACTAAAAAGAAATTTTTTTGTTTCTGATTCATAAGGCCCCCAGAAATCTGATTGAATAACAGTCACATTCCAGGGAAAATGGGGGTGGAAATCAAGGTACAAATTGGCAAGTGACACAGATAACCTGAGTTTTCTTTCCCTACCACAGCATGCGGAAACAGCCAAAAGAAAGGCCCGCCCCTGAAGAACTGATGGTGAGTAAATGTTTTAGTTACAGTAGAATTCTCCATTATATATTTGTGTTTTGTATTCTGCTCAAATGCCCAAAATGGAATTTAAAGCAGCCATAGGCTCTGGAAGGTGACATTCTTGATTTCATTTGGGTGGGCACTTTTGAAGCTGTAGCCTCAGATGAATAATTTTCACTTTTTAAAAACCCACTACCTTTTTGAAACTTAAACTCTTTCCATTTGTCTCACTCAAGGGCCACAGACTTTAAGTAGGTTACTCCTCCTCCTCATTTGCTGTGACACCCTCTCAAAATCCAGATGCTGGCGACAGAGAAGAGCACCAGCACGTTAAGTTTTCAGTGTAGCCCTGCAGGAGCAGTCTGAATGTGGCATGGGGTCCTCTTAGACTCATGTAGAATGGAATTAAACTGGCTGCAAAAGATCATATGCATTTTTGGTCTTGCTCAGGAAGAGGCAGCTCTGAGGCTGCTGGAGGGTGTTCTCACCTCCAAGGCCGCATTCTTGGATCATAAATGACAGTTTTTAGTCAAACAGGGAGGGAACAGAGACGCTCTCAAACAGTCCCCAAATGGTCATTTATTTAGTGCAGTGTTGATTTGCTAATGCACGAGCTGCTAGAAGAATGTGAGGATCGTGCGTTGGTAACTGATCATTGGAGTCCTTTCTTCCTAAGGGTGTGCGCCCCGTCCTGTCTTCAGATCACAGCAGTCAGAGCAGACCTCTGTTTTCTTTCAACTGTTTAAACAATATGCACTTTACAGTTACCAGTCTAGAGGTCTCTGTCCTTTGTATTCCAGCCTAGTGAACAGTTTAGGCACCCACACTTCTGTAGAATACAGATTTCACCCCCATATATAAAATAGCAGTACGTTGTTCCCTTTTGCATCATGAGTTTTTTTCAGGAAGTTGCTTTTCTCCTCCGTGTTCCCCCAGAGCAAAAGCTCAGTTTTCAGGGTAGTTCCTGACTAAAGTTCACTCGTAAGCCTCTGCAGTTTATGAATGCAGGTTTCATGTCTAGAAACAGTTTTGCATTGGTTTTGGTCTCCTTGGCGGCCAGGAAATTCTCGCAGTTAGTCACATTCCAGGACACTTGAGCAGGTCCTAGAGATGCCCGTTTACCTGTGCATCGTGATGCCATGGCTAGGTGGCTCCACCAGTGAAACAAAGGAGCAGGGTTCTGAAAACCAGTATTTGTATGTAAATGTGTGTTTAAGTACTGCAGTGAGTTGGCCGCTTAGAAATGAAACCTGCAGAGAGTACATACACCCATAAGCGTACATGGGCAGAGGCGTTGGGGAGGACCACGCCGGGTGGTGAGTCGTAGATAAGGCTGAGGGCACACACTTTCAGTGTCACGGAAGCAGGTAGATGTTGGTGCATGAGAGATAGAGAGACAAGATGGATTTATGTAGTATCTCTCTCTGCAACTCTACACCCTGGTGTGTGCTGCCCTACATTTTTAATTAATAAATATCAATAAATCAATACAATACAATGAAAAACATAGTCACAGGAAGCACCATCCTACACTTAATTTAACACGATTTCTGGTGCTGATCACTGTTTGACTTTAAATGAATCTGCTCCCCAAGGTCCAGAGTATGGAGGTGCATGGCTTGGTAAGGGCTCCATGAGGAGGAGAAATGGACTGTGCGGGGGTTGCTCTGGCCAGGGGATTGAGCCCTCCTGCCCATGACCAGAAGACTGGGCCCACAAGGGATGGAACAGAAGGGGGCTTCCCTAGTTGTGAGGCAGCTGAGTCACATCCTAGGCACCTAGTCAGAAGGGCCTGGTCCCTTTATTCCTTCTAACATATTAATGGCTTTAATTTTCCTTTCCCCTCTCCCCTGCAACCTGCTTGATGGTGCTCCCATCTGGAGGCTGGGAGCCTCCTCTGGCATGCATGACCTGGAGAGCCTGTTTGTCACTGTGGTGGGGGCAGTGCCTTCCATGAAGATAGCAGTTTATCACCCAAGCATGCAGCCACAGCCTGCGGGGCACTGGCGTGGGCTGCACAGCTTGGGCCGCCTTGAATGAAGCTTGCAGGGTTGTTGAGGTTCCCTGTGGGCCTGCATTTCCAAATCAAGGAGAAAATCAGAGATGGGTCAGGAGGAAATACCATCTAGAAACTCGTACGTGAGCTCCGGGTATGACTTTGACCAGTAAACTCAGCAAACCCCCGCCTCAGTAAGTCAGAAGGTAGGCAAGGCAGGCCACGTCACCCTCACTCCTGGCCTGGGCACTAAAACAGGGAGGGCGCTGTGTATACCAGGACCCAGTGTCAGGCCCTAAAAGCATCATCTGGGCCATTTGGACCATGTCAGTCTTAAAGATAAAATGTAAAACTCAGGGTTAGACCCTAGAGACCATTAAAATCCCAAGGTTAAAACTCAGTTGTTTAGATTTTTATTGCCTCTACTTTGTATGGTTGTTCTTAAGATGATTGTCAGTTTTTATATCCTGAGTGGAAGTATTTTAGAGCTGGACCAAGAAATTCCTTTAACATATACATTTTGGGGAGGCCAAGATCTATGTGAGCTACTGTGGTTTTCTGGTGTGTAGCCATGAAGCTTCATAAAATGTTCTCTCAAAGTTTGATCTCCAGCATCCATATCACCCTGAGAGAGCTCAGAACCAGGTGAACCATTGGATTCAGCAGATATGCACAGACTACTGTGGGCAAGGGCCACTGCTGGATTCAGCAGAAGATAGAGAAGGAGTCACATGTCTATGGTCTTGCAGACCATGGCAATTACTCAGATTGTTAGAATGGAGTGACTTATAAAAGGCTGCAGATCTATGGGGACCTGCTGGGAAAACGGGACAAGACGTGGGGACAGGAGCTTTTGGAAAGGGTCTGTGGACGATAAATTGAATTTTAAGGGTCAGACTGTTTTCAAGGGGCCACTCCAGACCAAGGAATCAGGAGGGGCCGCCTGTGAAGGTGAGGGTCCCAGACCCCTCAGAGCAGTGTGGAAATAGAAACCCCTTTGACGTCGACCTTGGAGCTCTGATCGGCAACATGTTGGCTTGGTGGGGCAGTCTCTTGAGAAATTCCACTTTCGCAAGAGGAACCAGTGTCCAGGTTGAACACCTCGACTCTGCATAGCAGCAGCACACCCGCCCACAGGGCTCTTTTTTTCTGAGTAGATGCCCTTGCGTAGACTCCCATGCAAGTATCAGGCAGTCCCCCGTCCTTGGGGAAGGTGTGGCCCTCCTCAATTCTTTAAGAACCTGTTGCATAAACCAGGACTCAAACTCCACAAGGTCAACTAGGCACGCAGGCAGCTGGGGGCACCCTGCCTACTGACAGGCCACACAGGTGGGAAGCCCACCTCTTCTCCCGGGATCATGAGACCATTCTCAGTTCCCGCTTTTAAGTCAGTGAATGCAGATCACAGGAGAGACCTCCATCCGTGCTGCCCCTGTTCCGTGACTCAGGACCAACAAGCGCAGGGAAGAAGCTTCCAGGCAGGAAAGACTCCCAGGTGGTGGCAGACAGTGTTCTGCAGATCAGACAGCCACACAAGGGTGTCATGGCCTAGGACAGCCATACAAAGGCGTTGTGACCTAGGACAGCCACACAAGGGTGTTGTGGCCTAGGTGGGAAAAGCCAGCTTCCACCAGTCAGGTAAGGTGGCCTGGACCACAGCAAGGCAGGGAGACAGTGCACAGATGGGCGAGAAGTTCCTCAGGATGTCAGGAGTCAGACTCCAAGCTCAGCCGACAAGGGAGTGGAGGTGAGGCTTCAGGCTGGTCTGGCTGTTCAGTGTGTGGGTTTCAATATTTTTAAGTAAAGGGGTGTGAAAAGAGACATTGCCGGAGAAGCCATGTGATTCTGTAAGCCACGAAGGATTCCTTCTGAGGAGCTCCTCTTCCCTAGGGCCCTTTGGCAGCTCAGTCAGGCCATGACTTGGCAGGCCTGTCCCCTTCCTGTGTACCCTCAGCGTCTTGTCTGCAAAATCAAGAGACGGACCAGATGAGCAGCCTTCGACCATAGGTCTGTGACTTTAGGAAGTAGGTTAGAGCCCAGAAATGATGTCCAAAGTCATGTAGGCAGGTGGGGATTTGCATTTTTTTCTGAAAAGAGGAATTCATGGCTGTCCCCAGTTTTTCAAAGGGGACCCTGACCCTAAGTGATTAGGCTCCCCCACTACCTTTCCATTCTCTTTCTTAGAGCGTTGTGGCCAGAACCAGAATAGCAGTGCAGAGGGAGGCGTTTGTTCACTGGGATGGTGTATGCTTGGGGAGGAGAGCACTGAGGGCCCCTCCCATGGGGCTCCCCAGGAGTCCCCACCAACTGCCAGGCAGCTCTTCCACCTCCCAGCGCCAGGTGAGGGCTCTGGGCTCCCACACAGTCACAATTTGGGCTGGGAGTGCTGTAGGTCTTCTATGCATTAGAGTATTTCCAGAAGCTTTCCATGTCTAAGCTCTATTTAATGGAATCTATGCATAGTAAGTAATCAGGTCAGAAGAAGCAGCATCCCGGTTTGAGATCAATCGCTGGCTAATACTTTATCTAGGCCACTTTATTATCTCATGCTGATCCGATTCCCATTCTCCTCCTCCTCTGTAGCACGCGCTTCGGCTATGGTAGAAGTGCGTCTCACATACATATTAAAAACATATACCCATTCTATCTGTATGTAAATGCGTGAGGCACAGCTGGATACTGCAGAGGAGTTTGATTTACTAATAGTTATTATCTGTTCTAGCTGTTCAGTGGCAGAGAGCATCTCAGAGACACAAGCTGGCGCAGAAATTGTCTTTATGCTATTACTATACTGCTTTGGTAATTGTTTAAAAACATGGGTTTTCTCCTCAGCTTCTGATAATGCTGTTATTTTGTGCATTTCCTTGTACATTCCAGAGCAGGGCAGCCTCGTTTAGCATATCCTCAGCTTTGGTTTCCAATTCAGGCACCTGAAAAGAAATACAGAGTACAGTTTGCAATTGAAATTTGACATTGTGCTTAGAAAGCAAGTCAATAGTGGGGCTGAAAG